TATTATGCTGCAGTTCACCATTATAATAATATAAATTCACTTACGACATTCCCTGTGCAACAAAATCACAAAATAGTGAATTATGTTCGTCAACACGTAATAGCGACGACCTGGTCACGCGTCTATGCGACTTCTATTGTCTAGTTATTACGATTTCTGTGATGATTACATTGCATTACATTATCTTCTTTGTTACGTATATTTAATACGAAATGTACGGTTCAAACCATATAAAAACGGTACGGTTTTATTATTATTATAGTGTTTGATTTTTTTGACCAATGATGTTACTAAATATTATGCGAGGTTATATGATATAAATTTGTAAAGATGTAAGTAAATTTATGGATAAGTTGCGGAATACATAATTATAAATGAAAAATATTACTAGTGTGTAGTTGTGAGAGCAAGGTGAAGAAAAATTATCGGAGGTTAGTATATCCACATACAATCAACCTGATTAGCTGAAAGTTTGGAAAACCTAATAACCGATCAATTTTTAAGGTTGTTCAGATACTATAAAATGCGGAATGAGTTTTAATGAAGGAAATTAATGAGGAAAATGTGATTTTATTATGAATTGTATAATATGAATATTGTCCATAATCTTGATCATGTATGTACGCGAGCCCTGTACGTGAAAGTAATGTTACAATTAAATAATGAATAATGTGAGCTAAAATACTATAAATGTAAAGTAGTGATATTGGTCATTGTCTTGATCATGTATGTACGCGAGTCGTGTACGTGAGAGAAATGACACAAATATTTAATGAATATGTAGCTAAAATGCTATGAAATAAAATTAAAATAAATAATGGTTAAAGAAGAATAAAGTAAATATATTAAGTTTAAAAAAAGAGAATTAAATAAGTATATCTAAAAAGTGTAAATATAAAATTAAAATTAAAAAAAATATTGTCTGGTTTAGACAAGTTGCATAATGATAAGATGATTTATTTTAAAAGATTGAAGTGACTTAATCTTTTAATAACAGTAAAAGTGCACTGCATCTATGGTATGGAAAAAATATTTTATAGGGAAATATTGCATAAATGTATGTACTTAAACGTATAACATTAATAGGCTAATACGAAACTAAAAAAATGTAATTTATATTCATATTGGAAATAAACTTTATATTTATTATTATTACTTAAAAAAAAAACAAATATATTAATTTCTTTTTTACATTTTTTGTCGGTGGGAGGTGTAGTGTAGCCCCCACGACACGTTAAGCGTAAGCAGTATAAGCAGTATAATTAAAATATTAGTACCAACAACATGTCTTCTTCATTGACACCTTTCATACGTTACAAGTTAATAACCATTTCAAAATTTTATATACCTATGCCAACGAGTTCGAGCCAAATAACAATATAGTCAAAAAAGAACTAAAAACACTCTTCACTTTTATTTTCAGTATTCTTCTTAGAAAACGCTTTTATTTGATACCCATATCATGGGAATGTATAAAAAATAGCTAGTTATCCATCTTCAGGAGTCTGCCATATTGGATTTAGAATGACGTCATTTATCTAACCATGTCATCAAAACTAAACGTGTATGCAAAATTTCAGTTTTCAGAAGTTGGTCAAATATAACTTCCAAATTTTTTTACATAATTACAGGTGAAGATATTACCGTGTTAGAAATGGCTTTTACTATTAATGACTACTAATGAATACTGACTTTGCAATAAATAACCGTCATCATCATGCCGTGGTTTAAAGTGGTGACAGGGATATTATCTTGAAAGTCAAACGTGCTCGTGTAGTAGAGCTTGCGCCCTCCTTTCTTTGCGCCCTCCTTTCTGCCAAGGAGGGTCGCGTTCGTATACGGCTTAGAGATCTCTAGTCAGATCGTTAAGCCAATTCCTAAAAGGTTGAGTTTAGTGGGTTAAAGTCACCACATAACCACGCAGCCGGCTGCGTGGTATGCTATGAGCATTCTCAACCTCCCTCCCCCGCTTTCCGGAGGGTTGCCCATATTTGCTTCGGGCGCAAAAATAAAATGTAGTAGAACGAGGCAATAACGGGCCTACAGTACCGTCTTCTAAAGTTAGAGCCGGAGTTGCATATTTGGCAAGTAATTTTTAGGTCTGCCATAACGATAAAACTCCCCAATTTTTACGGTTCGTTATTCGTTTTTAGTTTTCCTCGTGTCATTTATATCATGTATTTATAATGCATATGAAGCATTGTTTTTATTTTGTTTTAGGCAAAGAGATTTAAATATATTTTACTACTATTTAAATGTCTTTGGTTTTAGGTGTTTCTGAACACACCGTCACCCAAATAACTCAAGAGGGTAATGTAGCAGCAGCTTTATCTACTAAAATTATGACGCAGGGAAAATGTAGGAACCGAAGAAAAAAAATTTGTGATTTAGACGATTTTGATATGTGCGCTAAAGACATTTAATTCAATTGTTTTACATCGTGAAGAAAGAGATTCCTACCATAAATAAACTTTGGATGGAATAGAAAGCTGATATTGAATTTAAATATGGCAGAACACCGTTGAGGAGCATTTTAAAGACTATAGGCTACAAATACAAAAAGTGCCAGTCTAAATGAAAAGTATTGATAGAACGAAGTTATATTGGACAGCAAAATATATTCTGAGACTGCACTAGGCTAATAAAATACTTACAAAGTTTCCATGGACTTTTAATTGCGTTCTTTACAATAAATATAATGCGATTTCAGTTCTGTTTCAAAATACCCTTTTGAAAAATTCATTATAGACAAAATATCAGTAAAACCATATTTTTCATACGATTAGAAGAATATTTAGAAAATATTTTAGAAATATTACTAAATTGAATCGGGCTGCATGCAAGGCATACCTTTACATAGTCGTTTCTAATATGCTAATATCTTCACCTGTAAGTAAAACAATTGTAAGATAAATATGACCAAGTTCCGAAAGCTGAAATTTTGCATATGTATACACGTTTAGTTTGGGTCACAATACATGGTGAGATAAATGACCTCATTCTAAATCCAATAAGATGGGATTCCCAAAGGTGGATAACTAGTTATTTATTTAATGCATTCCCATGATATGGGTATCAAATTAAAGTGTTTGCTGAGAAAAATAATGAAAATAAAAGTGAAATGCATTATTTCGTTACTTTAATATTATTTGTCTCGAACTCGCTGGCACATATTAAATTTTTTTAAATGATTATTAACATAGAATACTATAATACATACATAATAGAATGGGGGAGTGGGCGGAGCCCGTGTAGCCACTAATATGTCAACTATAAGTGTCAACTCAATCAATCGATTCCAATTCTCGTGTCAAGCATCTCTGCATGCAAATTATTTAAAAATGACAAATTGTGCTATAATTATGTGTAAGTAAAGTATGTAAATAAAGAACAGCGGGAAATGGAATTTAAAAAAGGAGACATTTCTTACAACCAGTAATTCGCAACTATTTACATTTTGTGAATTAGAAACAAAATAAAGAAATATTAATGTGTCAAAAAACATTAATCAAAAGTCAAAAATGTGTTAATTCGCTCAGTCTGTCAACACAGCGAATCGGGTTTGTAGTAGTGATAATACGAGGTAATTGCTTGTATTTGTGCTCCCGGCGACGCCGATTCTCGTACAAAATAAGGTTGACAGCCATTCTATTGTGTACTATAGTATTCTATGGTTATTAACTAATAATTTATTTTAACGTAGGTCTTACTTAACTAACCTTCGAAAGTTACATGCTATACTAGAAATACATTTATTATGCGGATCACAAGCAATAAATATAGGTTTTTACAAAAATTGTTAGGTCTTTGTAAATTAAATGGTGAACCTTACAGTTTTTTAACTAAATAATGTGAAGAATTTTGTGAAAAAAATACGTTAGTCTAGGCTGTATGGTTATAGATCACTTTGCCTTTGAAAAGTGAACAAAAAGAAATCAAAAAATTAAACATTGACATTGAAAAATAAAAAAGTTATGATTTTAAGTTGAATCCGTTAAACTTAACTTGATGCTATTATTTAATAGTTTTTGCATTAAATCACGTCCTAATAGAGTACGGTACATCCTTCAAAACAGACAGTTCTTAGAAGACAATACTACGTGCTGTTTAAGCTAAGAGAAAGACATGACGAGTTAGAACAAGAGTTTAACCTAATATTCATGGTATTTGCCGGCATGGAAAACAGAAACGAAATTTTTTCACAAAGGCTTGTCAAAGCAGTAATATGGAATATTGTGTTGCAAACTTTACTTGCAGCGCTTTTAGTTTTTGTCATACAAGTTAATCCCTTACACCCGGTGTCGTGGATTATTTCAACATTTCATGACATATTTAGTTGGAAAATGTGCTTAAATGTTGCCCTGCTGGGCCTTGTATCATTTTTTCAGGCATATGTTTACGGGAGCTATTATACAATTCAGCGACCTAAAAAATTTACCAGATTTTCGATATTCTTGAATACATTTACCATGCAGAACATAATCTTTGGTGTTCTTTATTCTCTTAATGGATATTTCGCCTTGAGCTTATATTCGTCATTGGCTGGAAGTAAGTACAACATACTGAAAAAAAAGTGTGAACAATATGATGGCCAGTGTCTGTCAGAACAGAGTTTATTCTTACAGTTTGGTGGCATGTGGATGGGCCTGTATTATTTCCTTAAAGTTCATATATTTGGCACAACTGTTTTAACATTTCCTCATATTTACCAAGACAAACTACAGCAGATTAAATTAGTAATAAGCCACATTATTTCAACTGGATTTAGGAAGTCATTTGTGCCTGTATTGTATTTTTGTATTTTTTATTATCTATGGGGTAGTAAACCTAGAAATGTTGTTAGTGATGTTTATAGTTTATATCTAGAGGACCCTCCCTTAGATAATGTAGTAATTATGTTGACAACTGGTATTTATATTGGCCTTTGGTTCTATACCAGTTTATTTTTCATATCAGTTTATACCATGAAAACAATATTCAATATAGTACTTACAGAACCAATGAAGTTTCCAATTGAATCTGATAATAAACTTACCCTATGCAATGCTTTAGCACAAACATCAAAGTTTAATAAATATTTAGCAGCATTAGATTTAAAAATAATGTCTATGACTGATGCCAATAGGAGATCTGAAATATTTACTCTTTCACAACCTGGGGGGCATCCAAGAAACTGGAATAATTTATTAGAAAAATGTATGAGCATAATCAATGCGTTTAATAAAGAATTGGATATTATAAATGGTGATGGAAGTGCTGGTGAACCTGATAGTTCATATAGCATTGAACTAAAAAACATAGAAACTCATGGATCTTCACTTACTTCATCATTATATTCAAGTCCTCTTAGGAATATGGCAAAATCACCCCAACTATTTGTATTGAAAGATCACAATAGAAATAAAACTGATGACACCTTCAGTAATGCTGTGAAAGAAGAGTTTAATAATTTTATTCAGAGACTTTGCCAAAAGCCAGGTATAAGTTATTTCTTTGGTGAGCTAACAGACACAAGATTAAAATTTTTATTAATTCAGTCGCAACCCCTCATTTGGACTTGTGAAGGCTTGGCCACAATTGTAGCAGCTTCATTAAAAGAAGATAAATATGGTATTGTACAAAGTGATTTGCCAGCGGTTATAACAGCCTTAATTAATTTAAAACAAAAACTGGATAAGTTGATTAAACCTGGTCTTGTACCTCGAAAGCATTTTGTAAATGATGGATTTGCTTTGAGACTTAGATCTGCTCTTATATCATCTGTGAAAAGAAGTTTGTATAAAATTGTAATTACATTCTCAAAGTTTATTCATGAGATACCGTTAGAACATGAGATTCAAATGGCAATACAACCCTTCTTGTTTTGTAAAGAATGTTAATAAATTGAAATATTTTGATATTTAAAAGTATTTTATTTTATTTTATGTACTTCATTTGCAGTTCCTTTTGTTAATAACAGAAGTGTTTGTTAGTTGTTACAATATGTATGATGCATATAGAGCAGTGGTAGATTGGGGGCTAAGGGCTCATTGTAAATTTCACAGTGTGTGAGCAACCTGAGTTTGGCACTTGCTAGCAACAATGAAATTGTTCATTGCAATTTGAGGTGATGATTTATATGCTCGGCGGTGGAAGAAAATATTGCAAGGAAACCATGTCTAAGAATAAAATTAATTTAGTGATGTGAAGTTGGCTTTAGTGTATCCGTATGTATGTGGCCTGTGCCCAAGAGTAGAATATACAAAGGCTGTAACTTTAAAATATGCTTGAAATATAAGATGCAGCAGTGCTAATGTGGCTAGACGGAATGTTATATTAGCATGCCTAAAACGCCTTTTTTATTTTAACATTAGAAAATTATAATTTTTTATATGTTACATATTGAAATAAAAATAGTTATTCGACTTCATAATCCGGTTTTAATTTATTTTTATATTGGGTTTACATTTCTTACAAATTTATGAATATGATAAAAAGTTAAGAAAATAATATTCTTCTATTAACTTAAACATGGACATCAATCAATTTTAACATATTATCTAAATCATACTTATTATAGTACGGTTAAATGTAACCTGTTTGCAACAATGCGATTTATATATGACAGTCGGAGAGCCAGCGCCCAAAAACTGTTTAAAATTGGAATTTCTAAGGCTAGTTTTTTTATACAGGTAGTCCCAGAAAGAATAGATAAATCTGGAGCGCCTAAAAGTACAGGTATCAGGCGCTCAAATAAAAACACAAAAAAATTGTATTCCAAGTGGAGCCAAAAATATGAAGGTTTAAAAAATGTTTTTATTGACCTTACTGTACTTTCATGTACCTACCTACGCTACTACCGTAAATTAATATTATTCGTTGCGTTTTTTGTGTTCTCTTATTCCTCACAGGCTTTTATTAGAAATGCAGTAAAGAGTATGAGTACATATCTATTGTACTTTTCTGCAAAAAAAAATATTTTATATTTTCTCACGAAATTTTATAAAACAATAATTTTGACCTAAATTTGAGAGCCATTCGTGAAAAAAGTATGAAGACTACGTACAGAAGTTGCAGTCCTTTGATGCTGACCTGACTGCTTGCCGACGATTAATAGTTACATAATTATTATTAATTAGATAAATCTCGCTCGCAAGCTAAATAAAACTTTATCGCTGGGCGAGAGCGTCCGTTTTACTTTGCATCTTTTCCCTTTCCTACGTTAGGGGGAACTTTCCGTTGTTACTAAGGGATGTCAATAAAGAGTAACAAATACATTGCGAAATGTTAATAAAGTTACTTAGGTGAAATACCTATTCTGACTATAATCGACTGACCATAATATTTTCGCACCTATGTGAGTTCTGCGATGCCTAACGCATGCAACTTGCAAGGCCATTCGTCGGGAATCGCGATGCTTGGCTCGGAAGAAAAAGGTAGATAGTGTAAACAACAAATAGACTTGAAATACGATTACTTACAGAAATGTATTCCACTTAGTTAAAAAAATTTGTTAGTACGAGTAAATAAAGTTTTAATTTCAGTGTTTTGTGGTATTATAACTTAAAATATTTTAAATAAAAGACAAGTATAGGTACGTAAGTAGATACTTGGATAGTGAAGTCAATTTCAACTAAATTTTGTAACAAAGTTCGTAGGTATTAGATAAATTATTAATTTATTCTATTTTTCTATAAGTACCTATGTAACAATAAAAAATAAATAAATTCACGTTTCATAACTTTCTACTAAAATCCTTCGGCAATTTAAAGAATGATATATCTGAAACATTTTGTTGGTCATTTAGCGTCACACAAGCGTACAGAGTACTTTCTATGGTACTTTTATTTAGCGTCTATCCGCGCAACAATTATAGTAGACAGTCAAGTTCCCGCTAAAACTCACAGTTAGTAAAGTAGTTAAAAGTTAATTTAGTGATGTGAAGTTGGCTTTAGTGTATCCGTATGTATGTGGCCTATGCCCAAGAGTGGAACATACAAAGGCTGTAACTTTAAAATATGCTTGAAATATAAGGTGCAGCAGTGCTAATGTGGCTAGACGGAATGTTATATTAGCATGCCTAAAACGCCTTTTTTATTTTAACATTAGAAAATTATAATTTTTTATATGTTACATATTGAAATAGACTAAACTACTAACACTACTAACTAGATTCAATAACTGGCTACGCGGCATGTAACCGAATCACTAGTTTCGAGTCATATTACAAGTAGTGATTTTGTAAATGCGTTACTTATTACTGTAACTGTGATTGTTACGAGCTCTCGGCTAGAGAGCACTATATTCCTTGGTTGCGAGGTATATAGGCAGTAATCTATGGTTGCGAGAGTCGACCACAGAGTACCTTTGTATAAGTCGACTGTCGGTCGGTCGAGCTCAAAGCGCACATGTGGCATACAACAATAAACAAAACGGCGTATGTAACAGTATTATTGTACGTTTAATTTTCATACGTAAGACTATAGATGTAGACAATAAAATAGAGTGATAAATAATTTTTTAAAACATTTTTTTACGGAGTCACGAACTCGTTTATTCATAAAACTAAAATAAAACTAAAAAATGTGTGTAAAAAATTTAAATGTTTATAATATTATAAGATTTAACTGTGTCTAAATAGCAAAACAAACGAACAAATTAATTGTACAGTGTAAATAAAAGTGCAAAAACAAATGATAGTGAAAACGTTGAAAAAGTGTAAATAAACTGTAGATATCAATAATCATTGTATATACAACCAAATTGAATTGTAAATACGCTTACATTAATAATTTTACGACGACGACCAAGTCACTGGTCTCGTTACGTTTCTTGAAAATGACATAACGACCCACATCTATGGCTGGGTAATCGAGCAAACGCGCCAATGCTGTTGCTACACTAACGGCACCTCTACATGTTGGCCAACACAGTGGCGAATGTAGTTATACTATATATATATATATATATATATATATATATATATATATATATATATATATATTACAACAATAGCATTGGTCAACGTGTAAAGCGGGTGTTTGGGCTTCATTGGTACGTATTGGAACGATTGTCCACAAGTTGGCGCGAGATCCGTGTGGTGTCGGTTTTTTACAAAAGATCAAAGGATTGTTGGCAGAGTTTGGTCGCCGCGTCCACACGTTGGCCGCGCGTTTAGTTTGCTATAAGCTCCCAGAGTGATTACACGCATCTGATTTAATTTTTATATTCACGCTTTGTAGGGTGGATGCCCCAATTACCAGCCTTTTAGTGCCAATTTCAAATTTAAACATTCCTACTACTTTAATTAGCGCGATTTAATTATTTTTAAACATTTGTTTTAATCGATAAGCTATTTATCAAAAAAAAAATGAACATTTATTACGAGAACAATTTTAAAATGAAAAAAAAATGAAGCACGTCGTTTATACGTGGTGGAACCATGCAGTTATATTAGAAGTATAGTTGTAGCACGAATGGGTCGGCTTGACCGGGGAAGGACCACGCTCACACAGAATATCAGGGTAAAATAGTAGCTTAATGATGCTGTGTTTCGTATCGTAAGTGTAATGAACCGTGGACCTTTCTTACTGGAAACGAGGCATTTCATCTTAGTCCTCACGGGCACAGAATAAATAATAGTACTAAGTATCACGGGTGACAATGCATCTGCATTTTGATTCGTAATTGAGGATAGATGTAGATGTCTGTGGGCCACAGCAACCACTTACCATCAGGTGGCCTGTGTGCTCGTTTGTCGAAAAAACTTCGATTTCTTATAATATAAGCGTGCAAGTTTTCGAATCATCATCATCATTATAGTTCTTCACAAGTCCGCTACTGAACATCCTCCTCCACAGACAGCCACAAGCATGGTCCTGAGCCACTTTCCTTGTCATGAGTTTTTCATTTATGTTCTAAGTTATAATTAGTACCTATTATTGAGAAGGGATTGATCATGCGGTCGTCGCACTTAACTGACGTGCGGAGAACCTACATTTATTAACCAGCTTGGTCGACTGGCTACCCTCGAGGCTGCTGACCCCAGAAGTCAGTGTTAATTATATTTATTACTTGTTTTATCTTTTTCAAAATATAATTAAATTACCAAATAAATTATAAGGTGTTTTTTTATATACATCGAATGTCTGATAGAAAAGAAAGTACATCTTTTGATAAACTTTAAAATCAAAGCCCAATTTTAAAACATAGACGAATCGATTATAACTCCTATAACTATAAAATAAGTTAAGTTATATAAAAAGCTAAATTGATTAAATAAATTCCCGTTTATGACAGCCCTGATTTATATTACATGGCTGAAATAAAGTACTTCTTATTAGGTACGTAAAACCAAATATCAGCCTGACGGCTGACAATATGCACTTCATACATTTCGTATATCTATTTACAGCCCCATTAATGTTCACTATTCTTTTATAATTCTTTTATAAAAACGTTAACCCCACACTAGGATTTTCTCCTGTATCGCGGAGGCAGTTTACAAACATAAATTGCACAATGACTCACATCCAGACCCGGAACAATTATTTGAAGGCCATACAGATACTTGTTACGTGCCGGATTCAAACGCACAGCCCCTGGCGCAGCTTCTCATTGCTAAGCGACTGCACCACGGAGCCGTCAATCACACATAAACTTAAAAAATTATATCTAAAATCGTCTAAAATAAAATAAATTCGTCCGCACATTGGCCACATTGGCCGAACAAGCCGGTTTCTGCGGCAGATTGTACAGAAGACCGAAGAGTACAATCTGCTAATATGCCTGGCGTATGTGGACTATGAGAAAGCCTTTGATTCCGTCGAAATTTGGGCGGTGCTACAGTCCCTTCAGCGGTGCCAAGTTGACTGTCGGTATATCGAAGTGCTGAAGTGTT